GGTGAGGAGGGGGTGGGGGGTGCATTGGTGCCACCTGCCCCCCCCCTCAAAGCACCTGCACTGCATTCCCAAACTGCACCTCCCTCGGGACCCCCCTTCTCTTTATCAGCAGCCGGCGCCGGGTGCAGGTGCTGTGTGCTCTCTTGGTGCTGCTCTCCCCGGCTGGGTATGGGCAGCGACACGTCCTGGGGTCCCCGGGGGCTTCTGCTGTGCGGGGGATGGGGGGGCAGCTCCCTCTGCCACCCCAGTCCCTGTGCTGGGTTGTGCTGGAAGAGCCTTTGGCGCCAGTGTGGCGTTTGGGGGTCTCCCAGTGCTCTCTCCATACTAACGGCTTCCCCGGGGCTGTAGCTGCTCCGGTCAGCCAAAATTGCCCCGTGCTGGGAGGATGCACGGAGCGTCCTGTGCTGCAGGGGGGCTGCTCGTCCTGCTCTTAGAGCTGGTTTTGCCTGTAAAGGTGATTAACCCGCTTTTCCTTTCCCCAGATGGTTTTATCCGTCGCATAGCAATGCCGCCCTCGCCAAAGCAATGCTGGTCCAGCGGCTGTCCCACCTCTGGGCTTTTAGGACTGGACAGTTTGCTCTCCGTGCTCCGAAGTCGCGCTTCTTCCTTGTTCTTCTTCTCCAGAGCAGCCAAACGCTGCTTTTTCTGCTGTTTGTCTCCCAGGAGCTGGTTCCGGCTGCCGGCGTTGGATCTGCTGTGGAGGATGAGCAGCTCTGCTCCCTTTCGCTGCCGGAGGAGAGGCCCGTTGCTGCCCTGTGGGGTACAGACCTGACGGCAGGAGTGAGCGGGGGGACAGTGCCTGTGCCCCGCGCGCAGGCAGGGTGGCTGCACGGGGTGCGATTCCCCCTCTCCCGTGGTGTGTGCGCACGGGGAAAGCCTCCCCTTTGCTTTCGGCTCACGCGGGGGGAGCAGCACACGCGTGATGCTGTGTCCCCGCAGGCTGCCAGCTCAACACGGGCACCCGGAGCTGCGTGGTGAAGGAGGAGGATGACTTCTTGGAGCACCTGGTCCTGCTGAGAACGGTGAGACCCGAGGCTTGCCGAAGAGCCCGTGGGAGCCGGGCTGTGCCCCAGCAGCGGGGCTGGCTGCCGGCGGGGGCT